CCCCACCTTTTTTTTTTTGGTCAGCGAAAATGGAGTAAGACATTGGTCTCCAAGGCACTGGCTCTTTGATACTATCCTACACAGGACAGCTGCTCTATGCTTTTCATCCAGGTGATCCAGCTTAGTAAGATGTTCAAGGTAAAACCTGAACACCAATCCAAGATTCAGACTTCTTCATGTTTCAGAAACAGAAGTTCTCACATCAACCTCTATCAAGCAGTATTTTTTAAAAATGAGACTCTTATATAAAATTCCTAGAGGAAACAGGAGAAACTTTAGTTTCTGGCACACATTGCATTTGTCAAGTGTTATACACAAGTATCACACAACTCATAACATGCCAAATGTTATACCAGTTTATCCCCAGCCACAGAGAAGTTACTCAGTGAACAGCAACTTTGTGGCACAGAAATCTCCCATGATAATTTTAATGTGTGGCCAGTAGGCATATTACAGTTTGTCATGCAATACTCGCATGCAGTGCACAGTAAATGTAACATCTGCCAGAGGCCTAGGAGAACAGACATAACTCTACTGGTATCAAGGAATACTGATACAAGCTATTACAATGCAACTGGAACTCTTTTTGATTCTATAGCAATACAGGAGTATTGAAATAAATTCAGCTTTAACCCTGATGCATTCGTGCTCCAAGTCAGGGTAATTTAGCTTACTTGCATCACTACAGAATCCTGCAGTCCTCTTATAAACTAGCTAAAAAGCATGCTTGTCTATATCCCAAGTTCCATTCATCACACTTAAAAAAAAAAATGCCATTTATATGGTCTAGTCTCCAATAGGTCACTTCCAGGCTACCAGCTTCAGCCAACTGGTGGGCTCATTAATCTAGCTTTTGGATTGCCTTGTTATCTAAAACAGTTTGGATAGCAAGGCAACACAAACAAGTGTGCTGAATGAAGAAATAGTCCTCCCAAGGCAAAGCTTTAACTTTTTACATTTTGACAGCAGCCCACACAGTCAGCCTATAAACCAAGAGAATCAAATTTAAGACAAAATGAGGCCAAAAAGGAAGTTACATAAAAGTCATATGCTAAAAGATTATTGCACGCGCACTGAAAAACACCTCTTCACATCACCCATGTGAGCTACATCACTAAAGGCTGATCTCTTAGAGGACCCTACTGCTTAAAGGGGGAATGTTTGTCTTTGCATTATACTTAATTCACCGGGGTGTTACATCCACAGAACAGAGAGATGCTGACTTGCACCCACATCCAAAAAAAAAATTAGGTGTCACAACAAAGAATGGTGCAACCCCTAACTTTCAGATGCAACTGGCTCCTGTAACAGAACTCACAACACTGAATTAGATGTTTAGTTTCCATTTATAAGACCTAGGGAAAGTTAGGCACCTCAGACTAGGTTCTGTAAATATCAGCAGGTATCTTTTAAATCCCATCCCTTACCGGATCTTAGGCATCAGACTCCACTCAAACTTCACAGCTTGGAGCATACATCTAAAAGCAGACACGCAAGCCCTTTCTTTCAGGTGCCACTATTTTTTAAACATGGATGTTGAAGACGACATGAAGGTGGCCACTGTCCTCTCCTCCCCACTTGTATAACAGTGGAGTGATTGGGAAACTCAACCAAGTTGCAAGAGACCTGGACTTAATTCCCTCCTCTGCCAAAGGGAATTTAAACCTACATCTTCCACCTCCCATTAGGACAAACTAACTATTAGACTATAAGCTACATCTTTGCTGTATGAGCTGTTCTTATCTGTTTCAAAGAATTAAAGATTGTCTGGGCCAAAGCAACTAAGAACGAGAGTGAGCATGACTTTGACCAGATGATAAAGGAACTCCCCTGGAAGAGAGAAGATATGGGTTTGAATCTACTCTGGCAAAAGATGATATGAAACCTGAGTTTGGGTGAGTATTCTCACCCAAGTGTATAAAAGCAAAAGGCTACAGCAATATCACTGTTTTCCTGCTCTGGCCATGCTTTAAAAGTAAGGGGTAACCACTGACGCATCTGTGCAGAGCCTGATCCATTTGGCATATCCCAAGAACATCTGCTGAAGTGAATGCTCCTCAACAGAGACTGATGAAGAAATGCCTAGTTTACAAAACCCAGTGGAATTCATGCAAGACAGAGGTACCAACCTGTTCATCCATTCCTGCCAACACTAAAGAGCTCCCAAACATGCCCAAAAGCAAACTATTAGACATCAGGGGAGCTTCACTGTCAAAAACTGAGGAAGTCTTGGACTTTAGGCACCTCCAGAATTGGGTAGCAGCTGGGCAGAAGTTCTGATGACAGTAATTTTGAACTCAGACATCAACTCCTAAAAATGACACTTTACTGTCTATGCTTTTTGCAGATGTACCCCTAAATGTAATACCAGCTTTTATAGAATAAAATAAACATTTCCTTTTCAGAGTCAGCCATAGTAGCGATGTCTTAGTCTGAACTAACAGCACTGTGATTTCCAATTGAGTCAAAGGGAGTTAAATATCTAATTCCTATTGACATTCAATAAGTCTTGAAGGTACCTATCTTGTTGAGGCCTAGTCTATGTGCTTTTGCACTAGCGTACATATTTACGAAGCCCTACCCCACGTACAGGCTCTGAAGTGGATGCAATTAAACTACGACAGAGGCATCTTACATGAGGCACCAGTCTAGATTAGTCCCCAGCACACATGGCCATGAGAAGTGTGTACCATTTCTCTTATACAGCTCTCTCTATAGCAGGATAGTTGAAGAGTCTCTAGCTCCTTTGTTTGAAAATCCCCCCTCCCCCCAAAAAAAGTATTTTTCAAAACACCTTTTAATGCATATGAACCTCTTGGACTAACACTATTTTAGAGGTACTCATTCTAGTTGATTGTTCTCAATTTAGCTGAAGCCCAGTACTTGTACAGGATTTTGTGTTGCTAATTAAATGAACTGTTCTCTAATCAAAAGGCATATTAAAAGGACATTAATTATTCTGGAAATTAAGTTACAGTATAGTAAAAGTTACATCAGAGTCATGCCTTCAATTCTGAATGCATTTTACTGGTCTTCTCACATTCTGCTTTTCCATTTAGACAGGAGATCTATTCAGTAACCAGTTAGATTCACAACTTTTGAACTAATTATCCATTTCTCTGTGGAAGCATCATGGTATGCAATTTGTTCCTCTTCCTTTCCAATAATATTGTTCTAATTATCATAAAAAATAATGAGATTAAGTCTTTGCTTTAGATCTTTTACCTAATTATGCCGAAAAGAGATCAGAATTTATAACTTTTCAGAAAATAAGATGGAACTTTATTTTAATATCACAATTTAAAGCAACTTCTCTTACCTATCAGGAATACCTAGCCTCTTGACACTTCTGTAAACGGAAAGGGTGTTTGCCACATGACGATAGTTAAACCAGAATCTAGAGGTGCACACCTTAACATGTAAAGAAGAAATAAATGCATATTAAAAATATAAATGATGCATTCTTGATTAGTACACGCATCAGTAGCTATAGCTACGATGCTATGAAACTAGTGAAACAACGAAGAGTGCCTAGCAACAAGAAGCTGATGACACAAGTAATACAAACCTTTTCTGTAGAACAAGCTTTTATCTGCCTTGAAAATAGATGTTGACAGACTGAGCTGCAGATAAAACATTCATTAAAGGCTAAAAAAGGACAAAAAATGCACTGTACGGAATAATCTCAAAATGCTAAACTGATGAGCTGCCTTATTTAACATGTCTTCTCCATTTCAAATGGATCCAAGTCTGAGACTGCCTCTTTGAAAGAAAGTGCACATGGATAAATACAAGAGCCACAAACAAAAGGAAAAGAATTGCTAAATTGGTTTTATTTAAGAGTCAAATGCATCAAAGTTAGAGCTGGGCAATAATCAGAATTTGAGGGTAAACTCTCAAAAAAAAATTTACAATGTTCAGACTGCACCCTTTCAGTTTGCAAATACCATCAAGAACCAAAATGTCAGCAAGTTTAAATACTGCTAGTTAAGCAACTAAAAGATAAGTGTCAAGAGAAATAGTCAGAAACAACAATTGCATCTTATAACAGAAGATTAACAGCATAACAGAGACTAAGAAAATACAAATATCAATGGCCTGGATATACCTAGGGAAAGAATCTTTCAGGTACCTGGGGCAATATTAGAGCTTAAAGTCCATTCTGTAATTAAGAGGAAGCTCATATTTTTAAGTTTGTATCTTGCAACTCTCAGTAATAAGATTAAAACAAAACTAAAAAGGCAACTTAAAAAAAAACAAAAACAAACAAACACATTTTCATCTAAGTCCCACTCAACAGTGCTCAGGGCTGCTCCCAAGACATTGCCTCTACTTAACCACTATTCTCTGGTGCGCTGCAAGGCCAGAGCTTATTATGCTGGCAACAGAGTCAAGACCAGAAGGGAAGGTGGACAGGCACATCCTGAGCTTCTTCTGAACATTTTATCCAAGGAGTTTAACTAGCTTAGAAGAGGCTTGATAGAGCTGCTGAACTCTGACCTCAGACACTAGCAGAATTGTAACCTTAAGGCCTTAACATCCTATGGTCTCTCGCATGACCAGTAAAAGTTACAAGAGTAACCAGCTGTTTAGCACAGAAAATACCCTCAGACTGACCAACCCAAAAGACAGTTATGAAGTTAAAGGTGCTAGAATAACACTGCACAAGTATGAAGTGGAAAAGGGAACACCCAGCCTAAGTTCAGTAAGATCCTGAAACAAAAACTGTATACCCAGAAGACTTAGCCAGAAGCAAGATACCTGTTAGTTTAAGAAAATCAATAAAAAAGAGTATTTGTGGTAGATGTTTATGATCAACTAAATGACCATCTTTTGAAGAGGCAATTCTAAATTACTTTCTATTATTCAAAAAATATTGACAGAGATAGTTAAACAGACTTCTGATTATCAAGCACTTGCCTTTGTTTTATAAAGCTAGTGACAAACTGACAAAAAAACAATACAAGCCAATAACAAAATAATAATATTTATCCTTTTGCAAGCGTCTGGGGTGCATACTGTATTCAAATACTACAATAATCTTTTTTCTAATACTTCATGATGGATGTTAACACCCCAGTTTTATAAATAAAAAAGTGGCACAGCTAGTAAACCTAGAGACTGACGTACTGGGCGATTTGGAATAACAAATAGTAGAGAATCTGGGTCCAAATAACTTGCTCAAGATTGCAAGGGCAATCAGTGGCTGAGAAGGGAGCAGAAAGCAGATCTCCTTACACCTTAAAGCACAAGAACTTTTCTGCTTCTTACATTATTACAAGTTTATATCATGTGTACTTAAAAAAAGCCCACAACAACCTGTATTTTCTCTTTGAGAATTGAAAAGAAGACAGATATTTAATATTAATAATTTTACACAAAAGGAAAGATCTATTTTTCTTTTACTGAATGCTTTAATTTTGCTCAATTTAGTACTCAGTGTTTGTTTGCTTTTTAAGGAAAACTGACAGCTTAACACTTACCAGAACTGCCCAGTTGTTTGTATGCCCACTTTTAAAAAACTGCTCTACTTGATCCTGCAAGAAAAGGAAAACATTTGAGGAACACCTGTGCAGACTGGTTTAGGGAAAAAAAATGGGATACCATACTTTGTTGATCCTACAAAATGTAAAACGTTAATCTTATATCACTGTTTTCATTCGACCTTAAACTCAAACAACAAAAAAGTGTACTTGATGCCTCAATACCTGAGGAGACTAGACATTCTATTTAATTTTGGCTGTTTCATCAGAATGTTACATGACCCTGGGACTAGACCTAACACAACTATATATATCTTAGTATTGGGTATAAAGTCAGAAACACTATCGATACAGAAGAACAAAAGTAGTTAAATTAATTGAGGAGGTTTTCATGGAGAAGCAACAAACAAGAAAGGAGAGAATTAGAAGTGAAAGACGCTGCACTCTGCCCAAGAAAACAGGATCTGGGAATAACTAGTTACATCCAGAATCCTTCCATTTAAGAAGTACAGGTTTCCCTTAATTTATGCAGTACATGAGTTCCTGGAGAATGGCATATAAAACAAATTTGCATAAAGCTAACCCACTTTACAATGTAACAAATGTAACAAATAGGGATAGGTGAGGGAGGGAAGGAAGGAGTGAGGCTGGGACTAGGGAAGAGGCAGGGGTAGGGGTGCCGCTCTAGGGGCTGCACAAGGCAGCAAAGCAGAGGGAACAGAGCGTCACTCACCCCAGCCCAAACTGCAGTGGCCCCAGGAGCAGCCGGCACCAGCTGCCTGCAGCCGCCTGGGCTGCACCGTGCTCCGCCTGCCCCCCACCCCGCATCTGAGCTCCACTTGTCCACACTCACCTCTGCTCCTGGGCTGCATCATGCCCTGGTGCAGGCAGGTGGTGTTGGCTGCTCCCGGGGTTGGTTCAGCCAGCTGGGGTGAGTGCGGACATGCGGCGCCCCAGCTAGTGCAGCACTCACCCCGGCCCCGGGAGGAGCTGACACCAGCTGCCTGTAGCAGCTGGGCTGTACCATGCCCCGAACCCCCCAGGGCTCTGCCGGTCCCCACTCACCCCAGCCCTGTCAGCAGCCAACACCAGCTGCTGGGCTGTCCTGTGGCCTGGTGCAGGCAGCTGGTGTCAGCTGCACCCCGGGACGCTCCAGCATGGGTTAAGGTGAGTGCGGACAAGCAGAGCCCCAGGCGACGCGGGGCACGGCACTCACCCTGGCCCCGGGAGCAGCCGACACCAACTGCCTGTAGCAGCTGGGCTGCAGTGTGCCCCAAACCTCCTGGGGCTCTGCTCTGGTGTTGGCCACTCCCAGGGCTGCTGCAGCTGGGGCTAGGGACCAGCAGAGTCCCCGGGGGGGGCATGGTGTAGCCTAGCTGGTGTCGACTGCTCCCAGGGCTGGGGTGAGTGCCATGCCCCACGCCATGCCGCCCGGGGTTCCCTTTGTCTACAGTCACCCCAGCCTGTGCTGGAGCAGCTGACACCAGCTGCCTGCACCAGGGCACAGTGCAGCCTAGGAGCACAGGTGAGTGTGGACAAGCGGAGCCCAGGCATGGGAGGACAGTCAGAGAACGGTACAGCCCAGCAGCTGCAGGCAGCTGGCACCAGCCGCCCCCAGGGCTGCTGTTGCCGGGGCTGGGGTGATGGGGCCATGGCCCTTTCCCCTCTCCCCACAGACTTACCTGCTTGGGGAGGTGGTCTATGCTGATTGCATAAGACTGAATTTACCTTGCATGTAACAAATTATGGGTCTAAATATGCTCACTGCATAACAGTGTATTCACATATAAAAAAGCCACATAACACAAGGGCAACCTGTACTTGGTATATCACTTCTCAAGTAGTTAAAAGATGGTCCCACATGTCATCTGACTTCAGGCTAAAAAACAAAGCTGAAATGTGATTTAAACATTCAGAACATTTTCTGTGTAACATGATAATGAGTGGGAGAAGAGTAGAATAGGCTCCATTTTTTTTTTTTTAATTGCATACATAGTTCTATTTCAGAATATGCTCCAAGCACTGAAATGCCTCCTGAGGCCTCAAGGCTTGGATGAATTTCTCCCTTTCATTCTCCCCCATTCCTTTAAATAGCAGATAGGAAAATATATTTGGTACATTTCAATCTGCTTGAAAGCAAAAACCAGATTATACTAAACCTTCTAGTTTAAAAATATAAAAGTGCTTGTACTGGTGACAGCTGGCTCTTATGTAATCCATATTATCCACAATTCAAAATGTGTTACAAAGAGAAAAGTAAGCATTATTACCCCTCATTTTACAAATGAGTAACCTGGTTTACATGGAATGGATGAAATCTACCCACGATCACTAACCAAATCAGGGATACTATAGGGAACAAGCCTGAATTTCCTGACTCTTAGAACACACTAAACCTCCCAAAAGTGACCGACTGCGATCAACATTCTCCACATAACCCAGATGCAAACACCGGGAAATTACTGGTTAAAACAGAGGTATACTAAACTGCACTTCCAGCAGTAAATAATCCTGCAGCCTTGAATGGCAACTCTACCAGGTTCTAAAATTAAGCTTATTTAAAATGCTGTTTAGTAATTCCATTAGCTACTTTGTCACATCCTATTCACCTGGTTAACTGGATGTCATAGAAGTCATTGAACAAAGAAAGTTATTTTCTACTTTACCAAAACATTAATAAATACAGGACTCGGACAACAAAGGGCAGTTGGATTTAAAGCTTCTGCCTGTTTAAAAAAAAAAAAAAGCTATATACTAAACAAGGCAGGAAGCCACTCCCGACTGAGAGGCAGCACTGGATTAAATGTTTTAATGCATGAAAGCGGCAGCTCCAAAAAAGAGGCACGAAAACAAAAATGCCCGTGAGCTGTCTGGGCTGAGAGGGCAGAACAACGGCGCCGGTGCTTGCAGGCCCGCGGGGACGGCTCGGGGTGACGGCGCCAAGCAGGAAGTCGCTCAAAAGGGCAGAGGCGGGGGTCGGCCCCCCGCAGCGCGGCTCCCAACCGCGGTCTGAGCGCCTGAGAGCCGCGCGGGTTCAGACTGACGCCGGATCCGGCCGGCCCCAACCCCTGCAGAGCCGCGGCCAGGAGCACAGGCTGCGCCTAAGTCCGGGGAGCAGGCCCCACGGGGGCCGCCGGGGCCGGGAGCGCGCGTACCTGCGGGGCCAGCGCCGCGGCCAGGCTGCAGCACGCCAGGAGCAGGGCGGGCAGGC